GTAGGACCCACAGGTGCAACAGATTTCTCCCACATGCTAAACAGTTTTTGAAAAATTGGTTTCCTAACTTTTAGACAACAGAAGGTTCCTATAAAAATCCAGATGTTCAGCTTTTCCTCAAAATGGGAAGATCACCCTATACTGGGTTCCCATTTCTACAAGGCTGGTGTTGAGTAATCTCCAGTCCCCACCACTCTCTATTGTCTCACACCCACTGCCCCTCTGGGCATCTGTGGGTGTGACAGCCACCAGTGCAGGAACATGATAAAGCTCATACCCTCTGCCCCTGCTCTGCCTTTCCCCAAAGCCCCCCTCTCACCCCATCAGCTCCTCCGACCATCCTTCCTCCCTAGCAGGACTGAGTCACCACGGCCTCACCGTGCTGGCCACAGCAGGGTAAACAGGTGCACTGGCAGGCCCACGTCCAGATCAGGCCCAGTCGGCCCAGCGGCCTCGCTGGGTGTCAGGACTTGGCCCCATCCGGTTTGCTCTTGGCCAAAGAGCTTTCCTTGGAAAGCACTACACTCTTCTTCATCGGAAAAAATTAATCAAAATGACACCTCGTGAACAAGAGGTTTTGGCTCGGCAGCAAACAAACAGTGGTTTACAACAAATTAGCGAGTTCTGCTCTGTGCCTCTGGGCAAGTGTGTGCCACGGGGAGGGTCTGGCACATTGGGCAGAGCACCCCCGGAGCACCTGGCAGCTCCAGGGCCGTGGTCAGGCGCCATGCTCCCTGCGCTGCTGAGGCCTGAGCGTCCAGCTCCGAGTTACACTTTCACTTCCACCCAGGCCAGGGATGGCTTCCAGAGGTGAGGCCTCTTTGTACAGACCCATCCCCCTCCTTAGCAGGGTCTCTGGACCCCTTGTCCAGAGACCTCAGCCATCCAATTGGGGCCTCTTTTCTCTTCTCTGGTGGGACCAGGGCCCCAAGACCCCACGAGGCAAGGGTTTCCGGGGGGCTCGGGGGAAAGACCAAGACATCTCCCAGGCAGGTGAAATGTACTTGAGAGGATGGAATCCTGTGGCTTAGAGGACACCCACATGCCCTGCTTAGCTCACAGGTTCAAGTCTCAACAAAATGTCTAGACCTTGACTGCCAGCCTTGGTTCAGGGTAGAGAATGAGCCCTGGCAATTCCCAAGGAAAGCCAATTTGACCAGCCACCCTTCCTGCTATAAAGTCTTCCATGGCTCCTCACAGTCTTACAGTCCAAACTCCTCCACATGCCTCAAGGTCCTAAACGGCCTGGTCCCTGGAACTGTCTGCCCAGACTCCAGCCTCACTCTCTCCTTGTTCATTGGGTCAAACCACTCTGGACTGAACGCCACTCCTCAAACGCCAAGCTCGGTGCGGCCCAGAGCCTTGCACTCATGGTTTCCTCTGATGGAGGGAACACTCTTTCCCCTGACACCAGGCTGCCTCTTCCTCATCACGCAGGGCTCAGCTTACACGGCTCCCTTTGTAAGCGACTATCTACTTCACGCTCGTGTTTGCCCACTGTCTGTACTCTCCCACCAGACGTGAGCTCTGTGAAGGAGGACCACGGCTTTCTTGCAAGGCAATGTGGGTCCCATCCCAATGACGTCCAGCTGTGTGAGGCTGGGGGAGTCACGCAGCCTCTCTTGGCCTCAGGTTCCTCATCTAAAATGGGGATAAATGTAGCTCCTCCCCACGGGGGGCTGTGAGGACTGACTGATGACGCTTGGCACACAGTGAGGCTCACTCTGTGGCCACTGCCACGAACTGCTCACCACCACATGAGTCCTCGGGGTGCCAGGCTGGGGACCCACCACTTGCTTCTCAGGTAACTCACCATCAGAGGTGAAAGGCCTGGGCTTCAGAGGTGGGTCCCATTATGACATGGCTTACAACGCCCCCAGGCCTCCTCCTCCAGTACCCCTCGGGACACAGGTCAGAGCCACATCCCATACACCTCCCCTCATCACCTGGGCAGCAGAAGGCCGGGTCAGGCCTGCTGGCTGGTGCTGGTGGAGAAAGAGAGTGGGACTCCTTCCTAGCCCCACCCTCCTTGCCGCCCCACCGTTGTGCAAAATGAGGAAGAGGAGGCAGGGAGAGGTGGGATGGAGTGATGGAAGAGCCTGAGAAAATGCACCTCAGAGGTCCCCTCACAGCGCCAAGGGTGAAGGCTCAGGCCTCTCCCTCCTAGGCCTGACCCCTCCCCTGGCTCTGGGGCCTGGGGGTAGGCAACTTACTTCCTTTGGGGGATGGGCTTCCAGGAAAGCACTGTGGTTCACCCCACAGGACAGGACTTCATGCAGCATTCCCGCAGGGTCAGTCAGACGAGGGCCCAAGTCCCCTGCCCCCACCCCAGCCCTCTCTACTCCAAGGGACTTTGGGAGGACAGGAGGGAGGGCAGTGGGAGCAGGAAGGTGGCACTGGGTTGTGAAAGCAGGCAGCCAAAAGGCCACATGACCAGGTCTGCCTGTCTATAGCTCAGGCCTGGGTTCTTGCAGCCCAAGGCCAGCCTGGTCAGGGGACACCTTGAACATCCCTCTGATGAGAGGTGGGGTCCATGGGGTCCAGGAAGGAGTAGAAGAGAAACCAAACTTCTGAACCCCCGGCTGCATGGATTCAGCCTTAAATGTGTCACATCCACCCCAGGGCAGCGCTGAGGGGACTTGAAACATCACAAAGTCCTGGGCTGGGGGACATCCACATGGAAGGGACTGAGAACTACCATGGTCCCCAAGGACCCCACCTCCCCACACAGCACTGCTAGAGGTCAAAAACAGCAGAGACCCAGCAGGGTGAAATCGGGATAAGCAGTGGCTCCAGGCCGGGTGTCACCAGTTCAAGGCTGAGCCCACCACTCAAATGGGGAGGGGGGAGTTTGGGCCAGCAACTCAAGCTCTCAGTGCCTCTGTTTCCTCGTCTGTAAAACCCAGGTAAGGACCGGACATCCTTCACAGGCAGGGTTCTGAGGGGAGAGGCACAATGTGGGGGCACGTGCAGAGCCAGTCTCCAATATGAGCCTAGACTATCATTCCGCGGGAGCCTGGTGGCCCCCACAGCCCGGGCCCCCACCTATGTGCACACTCCCTGGCACAGCCTCCAGAAGACAAAGCCTTCCTGGGGGCCAAGATCAACACCAAATGACTCACCAGTCCTGGCCGGGTCCATTTCCTGGAACAAGTCACCACAGGTAGGCCTGAGGAGGCCTCTCCAAGGCCCAGCTTGGCCCAGAGTCTGGCAGAGACTAGAGGGTGCAGGTCCTGGCATGCCCCAGCCACACTCGTTGGGGTCCCCCAGCAGGAGTGTCGGGGGGTGGCCTGGGTTCCAAACCTAGCTCTGAATTGAACTGTATGACTGTCACTCTCCAAGCCTCAATCCCTGCCTCTGTAAATGGGGACTCTGCGCCCAGCCCATGGGGACAAGTGTGTAGATCATGGGGCAAGTGTACAAAGGCCCACTCTTAGCACACAAGTTACTCAGGCCACAGGCAGCCAAGACCTCTGTCCTTTCTTCCTCAGTGTGCTCCTAAAGCCAACAGTGGGGAAAACATTGTGTGACTAGGGATATCCTGGTCACAGGAGTGGTCACCAGAACTCAGGAGAGAGGGGACCAAGGAAGCAGCTTACAACACAGCTTCACTGTTGCTGAAAGATAGAAAGATTCATGTTTGTCTGGGAAGCAATCCCAGAAGGCTTCTCCCAGGAGGTGGTGTGAACATGGGCTCTGAAGCATCAATAGGAGTTCCTAGACTGTGAGCTCTGTGTGGCTACCGCCCAGCTGTTACTGGCTGTGGGCAAGTCACACATCCAGGGGTAGGCAGGTGAGCAGTACCTGCTTTAGGCAGTTGTAAGGTCAGGTGGAACCACAGGGCTGTGTCAAGGACCCAAGAGTGAAGTCTCAGGGTGGCATTCCCAGTCACACCGTGAAATCACACTGCCTGGCCAAACAAGAATGGGTTTAGGTGGGTTGATGTCCACCCAGGGGCTTCAACACTGTGTCGCCAGAAACTGCCGAAAATTCCTGTCCTTTGTCTGTAAAATGAGGGAATTGTTAATACCCAGGGCACAGGACTGTGGGAAAGAAAATGAGTCGATGCCTAACACGGTGCCTGTAGTCAGCACTCGCTAAATAAGCTGCTATGATGATAACCAACAGTGGAGGTCAGGGCCCAGGTGAGGGGGACAGGCACCCAGCAGGAGGGACAGTGGGAATAGAGGAGCAGGGGGTGGATATAAGGCAAGAACCCCAGGGATGGCGAGAGACCCCACTGGGGGCCAGGACAGCCAGCTGAGCATTTTTCTTGCTAAGGGCAAGGTCCTAGAGACAGGCCAACCGGGACCCCAATGCAGCCTTGTTGCCCTTCAGGCAAAGCCCCTTCACATCCCTGAGGCTCACTGTCATCAGGGGTGAGAAAAGCAACTTCCTCAAAAGACTGCTGGCAGAACGAAATGCCACAGAGCGCCTGTCACACTCGGACCTAACACGGACATCGTCATCGTCATCATCAGACACGGCTCGGCACTGAGTTCCTGAAACCCATCACTACTGCCCTTCGGGACCAGCTAATTCCTGATGGTGGGGGCTGTCCTGTGCATTGTGGGGTTTGAGCAGCAGGCCTGGCCACTACCCACTAGATGCCACTAGAACCTCCCTCCACAACCCCCCAAGTCTGACAACCAAAACCATCTCCAGACATTGTCCAATATCCCTCAGGGACAAAATGGCCCCTCGCAGAGAAGTAGACTAGGGGCTCAACAGATGACCACGCAGAAAAGAAAAGCAGGCTGTGTCTTAGATGTCCAAGGTCTCGACTGAAGTTTGGCCTCAGTGTTTCTATCAGCAAAAGGGAGGCAGGGATCCTTCCCTCCTTGTGGGGTGGGGGCGAGGGCCCCAGGGAAGCAGAGGGAGGTGGGGAAGGGAAGCCCTTTGAAGCTTCAGCTTCGCTGGTCCTTCTGGTCTGCTCAAGGCTGAGGGCCTCGGGAAGGAGAGGCTGGCTGGAACCCTGCTCGTGGCTCTGAGGACTGTTCTCAGGTGCATAAGGACAGGATGGGGGCAGGGGCCAGCCACGGCTCCACCACCATGGCGCTCTGCACACAGCAGGTGCCCAAGGAATGTTGAATGAGCATGTGCACAGACACAGTGTGGAAATCCTGAGCAAGAAGGGACGTAAGATGTGGGGAAGGCAGAGACATCCCAGCCACCTCACCAGCCCCCATGCGCGAGCCAGTCGGGGCGGGCAGACACCACTTCCTGTCTGCAGAAGTGAAACGTGCCCTTTGAACTCCACTTCCGGAGCCCCTCTCCCTGCGGTGGGACCTGGGAGGGGACGCGAGGGTACTCACGTTCCTGAAGGACAGCCCGGCTGAGCCCAGCCACCGGCACAGCACCTGTGGGAAGGTCCCGTGGTCCCGCTCAGCCTGCAGCACGTGGGCTTCCAGGAAGGAGACGTGGTGCCCGACCATCTTGACGAAGGCCTGGTGGGGAGAGGGGGAGCATGATGCCACATCTGCCTCGGATTGGAGCACATTCCTGGCAGCACTCCCTGGCTGACGAGACGCCTGCAGACCGGGCCCTTAATCACTACCATGCGCCTCCCTCCCAGAGGACCCACAGGCTCTGCCTAGCTGGAGGGGTCCTTTGAGAGACCCTGGCAGGACGAGGAGTGGCTCCCAATAGGGGCTCAGCCAAGCCACGTCTATGTCCTCCTTCCTACCTTCTCTCCATGGTGGCCCTATGTTAGCCTCTATATCACAGAGGAGCAAAACCAAGGCTCAGAAAGGTTGTGTGACCTGCCAAAGTCACCCAGCCAGAAAGCGGCAGAGAGGGGACTTAAATGTACATGTTAGATTTCAATGCCTTTCTTATGGGAAATAGGTTTTTTTTTTTTCAAGAAATTGTGAAAACACTCACTATATTAGTTGATATCTATCAAAACCAAAACTAAACTCTCTGTCACTGAGTCAATTCCAACTTACAGCGACCCTCTAGGACAGAGCAGAACTGTCCCATAGGGTTTCTAACACTGTATCTTTACAGAAGCAGACTGAAACAGTTTTTCCCTGTAGAGTGGCTGGTGGGTTTGAACCAACCAACCTTTTCATTAGCAACTGGGCACTTAATCACTGTGCCACTAGGGCTCCTGCTTGATGTGTTTCAGGGGGTCTCCAACCCAAAAGCCACCAGGGGCCAGGCAGAAAACAAGGAAAGGGAAATGGCCAAGGGGTGACTGGGTGAACGGGAGAGCTCCAGGCCCACGGGGACCCCTCAGCTCCAGTCCTTTTCAGAAGACTCTGGGGTCAGACTGCAGTAGAATCCAGGTTCTACCACTTAGTGCTTTTGTCTCTTTCAGTAAGTTACTGAATTTCTACTGGGCTCTCTGTCCTGTCTGTGAAACAGGTATAATAATACAAAGCAAGCTAAGTGCTTAGCACGTATTAAAGACTCAATTGATGTTAGCTAATCTTTTCTTAAAGAAAGAAAAGGATATTCAGATTTCATATAAAAATCTGCTAATTTTTTTTGTTGATGTTAGCAATAAATCTACCTTTTAAAAAACACTACACAGGTCCAGTGGAAGTCAGCCACAGGCTGTGGGTTTCAACCCACCTATCTGTGTCCTCTGGTATGTGTCCATGCACGCATGGGTCTACGCTCAGCACACGTATATGTGTGTGTGTGTGTGTGTGTGCCTATACACAGATAAGGCCACAAAAACCAGCCACTCTGGTACCATCTTAGGCAAATCACCTTCTCCGTGGGCTCCTTTGTCCCAAGTGAAATGAAGTTTTCTTGTGTTGGCCCAGGAACAAGGACATGTCAGTGCTGGGTGCTACCAAGGCAGTCCCTCTTTACTGGGAAGAACCCACGCCCTCCCATGGCCTGCAAGGCTATTTCCATTCAGCCCTGCCTTCTCTCTCCCAGTTCCACGTCCAGCGACACCAGCCTCCTTTGGCTCCTTCTCGTACTCACCACAGGGCCTTTGCACCGGCTCTCTCCATGTCACCAGTGCCCTTCTTTCTGCTCTTCTCAAGCAGGCCCTGGGTGTATTTTCGGCCTCATCCTCAGAAAGGCCTCTGGTGACCATCTTCCCAGACACAGCCCCCAAGTCATTGTCTGTCCAATCACCCAGTCTCCTGGTCATCACAGCCCTCTTCATCCCAGGAATTTCTTACTCATGGACCACCATATTATTAGGCAAATAACACACACTGCCTGTGCTTGTTTGCCAGCCGTGCCCTTCCCCCCACTCCCCAAGGTACTGTTGTCAGCGTGCTGCACTAAACTTTTTTTCTTACAGCAACATGTGAAAAAAAAAAAAAAAAAAAACTGGCATAGTGGCGCTTACGAAAATGCCTCGCAGAGGGAAGGCACAAATGCAGAAGGTGGGCACTATTTCTGTAAAAATACGGGTATCCCCGGTCCATCTCCCACTAGAGGCTAAGCACTGAGAGAATGGATGCTGAGTCAGCATAGCTCACTGCTGCGTCCCAAGGCCAAGATCAGGCCTGGTCCGCTAGTAGAGGCTTAGCTGGATGGCAGTGCGTGAATAAATGAACGTTTGAATGAATGAAAGCAAGGGTGCATCCTTAGCAAAAAGACACTGGACAAACCAAGATGGCGGCATCTGCTACCCATGTTCTCCTGCTGTTGCTGCTGCTGCCCTGGGGTCCAGCAGCGGCAGAGCCGAAAGGCCGACGAGACCACGTCAGATGGGGGAGGGGGCGCCAGGGCCACGGTGGGAAGCCTCCCCACAAGGGCTTGGAGGCTGCGCTCAGCTCAGCTAGCACATCTGGTCGTAAAACACAGAGGAGAGAAGTCCTGTCCTCCCTTCCTCCAGCCGATTCCAATTTTATGCTCTTGCACTCCTGCGTTTAAGGCCACTCTGGTGGGAGTGTGAGGCAACGCTGAGGAATGCACGCCTCGCGAGGTCTGAAAGGCCTCCAAGTGCCAGCGAGGGTGGCCTGGCCAAGCCACAGCCAGGGAGAGGCCGGGACCTGGGCATTAAAGTGACACACACCCCTCCGGGCCTGGGGCCAGGGTGGCAGGACAGAGGCAAGGAACAGAAACGGAGGCCCCAGAAGAGCTTAACTCCCCTGGGGCTGGGATTATGAGTGATTTGTACTATTGTTGTTCTCTCTTCAATAAAACGCATTACTGTTATGATCACTCGGAAGGGAGGAAGGCTGCAGAGAGGAAAGGAGGAAGGGTAAGAAGGAGGCAGGGAGGGAGGGGAGAGAGCCGAGAAAGCCCCACTGTCTTCCAATCTGTCAGTCACTGCTGTGAACATGTTAGGCCCAAGGCCCCAGACGGGAGCATCAAGGAGTGGTCAAGGGTGCTGCCCTGGCCATGCCAGCTCCTCTACTTCCTACCTGCGAGATCCTGGGCAAATCACTGCAGCTCCCTGGGGCTCATTGCTTTTCTTGTAAAATGGGCCTAGTAACCTGAGGACCTTCCTCCTGGGGTTACTGTGAGGGTGAAGTTGTGTCATTACATGTAAAGTACCTGAGTTGCTGGCACCTAGTAGGTGTTCCTTAAATGCTAGCTTTTATTATTAAAGCTGGTAAAGGGTCCAGTCTGGCTTTTGAGACCCTGTGGTTTCTGTGCCCCTGCACGGTGGGTTACACGGATCCCAAAGCAGGGTGATCCCACACTCCTTGGACACCCCTCCTTGGCCCCCCCGAGCCCTCGCCAACTAGGCTGATTCTGTGTCCCTCAGCTTGTGGGCAGCGATGACAACAGCCATTCCTACAGTGCACAGGTCCACCCCCCACATCAGAGCATCATCTGGACCAAAACTCACTAGCACCAAGGCTGAGACACCTGTGCACTAACCACTAGACTACACTACCTCTTCCATGGCCTCAGGACAAAGACCAAAATCTTACCCTGGACGGCAGGACCTGGACAACCTGGCTCTGGCTGCCCAATTTCTCTAGCCCGCCCCCCAAATCTGGCCACCCGAGGGTCTTCCCAGTGTCCCAAGCTCCTTCCAACTCCGGGCCTCTCCCGGTGCCCTCTGTTCTCCGCTCCCCTTCCGGGGGTCCTGTGGAGTGCAGGCCTTAGTCACCGCGTTCCCTCAACAGCACTCACCTAACTCTACCTCAGTCTCAGCAATCATGGCAGGTAGAACCACAGCTCCCCAAAGATGCCCACACTGTAACCCCCAGAACCTGTGACGATGTCACTTTCCACAGCAAAAGGGACTCTGTGGCTGTGACTAAGATCAATACCCTCGAGATGGGGAGGTGCTCCTGGATGAGCAGGTGGGCCCCATGCTGTCACAAAGGTTCTGAGGAGAGAGAGGCCGGAGGGTCAGGGTTAGACAGACGTAAGGACAGGAACAGAGGAAGCAGAGAGGACACGCTGTGCTGCTGGCTTTGGAGGGGGAGGAAGGGCCCTCGAGTCCGGGAATACCAGAGGCCTCTACCGTTGCTGTAAGTTGCCGTCAAGTCAGCCCCACTCGCGGCAATGCCACGCACAGCAGAACGCAACGCTGCCCCACCTGCACCAGCCCCTGGGTCCTCTGCAGATCAGACGGTTGCAATTCACAAGGTCTGAGTGGGCTCATTTTCAGAAGGAGGTCACCAGACCTTTCTTCCTAGTCTGCAAGCTCTGTTGGAACTTGGTCAGCGTCAGAGGCCTGCAAGCCGCCACTGACAGATGGGCGGTGGTGTGCACGAGGTGTGTTGGCTGGGAACTTGGACCCAGGTCTCCTGCAGGGGAGGCGAGGATTCGACCCCTGAGCCACCGACGTCCTCCGGAGGCCTCTACACCTGGCAAAAGCAGAGACCGGATTCTCCCCTAGAGATTCCAGAAGGAAGCAGCCAGGCCAACACTTTGATTCTAGCCCCGTGAGCCCAATTTTGGACTTCTGACCCCCAGAACTGTAAGGTAATAATTATTGTTTCAAGCCTTTCATTGTATGATGTGTTACAGCAGCCACAGGAAACACATATTAGTGATCTGTTCAGTGTCTCTCCTGGCTGCATCTGGCCATAGACACCATCTTTCTCACACTGACGCTCACCGTGGCACACAGTAGGCCTGTGATAAATGTCAGCAGACCGACTCCTCAGAGAAGAACTGGTCTCGAGAGCTAGCCCAACCCAAGGAGACAGGAACCAAGGCCACAAATCTTCCCATTTTTGCTCCTCCTTCCAACTTGTGGAATAAAATTCAAATGAATCAGCTCTTCCAAGGGCAGGGTTTTAATTACATCCCGGCCTCATTCCCCACTGACAGGAATGCTAATTTTCTGCTAACTCTGATACTGAATGCCACACTCCCCCCACCAGCAGCTCAGAGCCCCACCACCCCCAACCACACCTCCTCTGCCCAGGTGACTGCCACTGAACCACAAGCCCCACCCAGCATCCCCGTCCTTGTGGAAGGAGCCAGGGTGCCAAGCAGAGGGACCCAGGTTGGATAAGAGTGTGGTGAGCTTTGGTCAACGTGAGTTGGTGTCCTTGCTTCACATGATCAACTGTGTGACCACGGAAGTGGCCTGGCTCTCAGAGGTCCATGCAGATCAAGAGCTCCTCAGGGAGATGGGGACATGAGGGTACTGCCTTTGCAGTGTGACACGGAGAAAATGAGAGATTCTACACAGTGTCGGATTCCCCAATGAGCAAGGGAAGTGTGGGTGTACTTGTGCTTACTAATCTGAGTTAACAATTTCAAATGGATGTGGTCAAACCCGTGTGAAACTGTTCAATACAGATTAGTAAGTAAGCACAAGTAAGCCTGTGCTTACCGTGCTTACTGGGTAAGCCACGCTCGATCCTACTTCTCAGCCCAGCACCCAGGCAGGTGATGAGATGGTGAGACAAGTGAGGCAGGGTGGGGACTGCAGTGAGCTAGAGACATGCCCTTCTATGCACAGTGGCCCCCACGGTGAGCTACAGACACGCCCCCGGTGAGCTACAGACACGCCCCCGCAGTGAGCTAGAGACACGCCCGCCTGAGGGCAGTAGCCCCGCAGTGAGCTAGAGAATACATGCCCGTCTGAGGGCAGCGGCCACTCATTTCTACATATTCTTTTAAGAATGCTGCAAGAACACAGCCCAGGGGCTGAAAATGTCCTATTTCCTGATTTGGGTCTTTCCCACAGGTTGTGTTACTGTGTGCCATTGATTACGACTCATAGTGACCCAGTGTGACAGAGCAGAACAGCTCACAGGCGTCCTAGGCTGTCCTCTTCACAGAAACGAATGGCCAAGTCTTCTCTTTTGCGGAGCAGCGAGGGGATTTGAGCTACGTGTTTATACGTCCACTGAGCTACACACCTAAGATGTGTGCCCCTTATGTATTTATACCTTAAAAATAAACAGAATAAAGAAATGAAAGAAATGTGGGCCCTGCGTATTCAGATCTGAATTTTTCAAAAGAAGCTTAAAATCTGGATTTTTATATAAAGTCTCTCCATTTTTAAACATTGGAAACAAAGTCACGTCTTTAAAGTCCATGTGAGTGTAGACCTGTCACTACCAAGCCCCGCCATCGGGTCTGACGCCCAACAAGCTCAAGGTCAGCACCAGCATCTTGGGAGAGAGGGGAAAGGGCCAGGACAAGTCCTTGGGTCTCTCAAGGAACATCCACAGCCTGACGCACCTCTAGCCGGTCCACTTTGGCATAGATGCCACTCATTTCCGTCACTTTGGCCTTAAGGAGTGGGATGTTTTCCTCCAAGATCTGCGAAGTGTCACTCCTGATCTGCAAGGAACAAACAGCTCATCAGGCCCTCAGCCCATCACAGCATATCACCTGCCTCTGGAATCGGCCAGGGTCTCCACAGATCTGTTGATGGCCAAGGACGAGCCCAAAACAACCCAAGGGCCCAGACGGGGACCAACCTCATACCTCTCAGGACCCAGACCAACCCAACTACCACTTCCTTAACTGCAAATTAACTACCCCGTCCCCCAAAAAACGCCCAGCAACCTCAGGCCCAAACTAAGCATCTTCATGTTCTAAACCACCGGGCTGGAGCAAACGCGAAGTCAAAATCCATTCTCTGAACCTGAGTCGAGGTAAGTCACATTTTCTTGGCACTGGAATTAATAACGTTAATTAGTTGTTAATCTTCGTTAATAATGGCAATGAACTTCAACTCTCAAGCATTCAGGAGCTTGTGACGTGGGCACTTGTTGAATCTTCTCAGGGCATCATCTCATTTAATTTTCAACTTCTGCTTGGAAAGTCCCCCAAACCAACTGTGAACTTTGGTCCCTTGAGCCTCTCTTTTCCTTTAAGGATCAGCCTAACTCTTCAATGTGCATGCTTCCATTTTCATGCTCATGCTACTGTGTGGAGACAGGCATATACAGACTACTCTCAAAATGTGCACAGTACTCCCCTAGGAGAGGTATATCCTAGAGAGGTAGGAGCTGTGACACAAACAGACATGTGCACATCCATGTGCACTGCAGTGCTATTCACATTAGCAAACACACCCACGTGCATCGCAGCACTGTTCACAACAGCAAAAAGATGGAAACACTCTAAATGCCCCTCAGTGGAGGCATGGATCAACACACACGAACATACACACAATGCGATACTATGCAATGTGAAAGACCAACAATGAATCTGTGAAACATCTCAGAACACGGATGAACTTAGAGGCCATTATGCTGAGTTAGTCAGTCACAAAAGGACAAATATTATATCAGACCACTATTGTAGGAAGTCAAGAAAAGGGTTTCACAACAAAAGAAATAGTCTTTAATGGTTACCAGGGGCGGGTGTGGCAGGGAGGGGACACCACCAACTAGAGAGCAGATACATATTAACTGGGGTGAAGGGAAAAATCATTTAAAAATTTTATGACTTAAAAAAAAAAAAAAAGACGATGACTGTTAAACACTCCTGTTAGAAACGCAGAAGCCAGGGCTCTTCCCTGGACCTACTGCTTCAAAATCTCCAGGTGTGTGCATCCTCGGCAGACTGTTAACCTGTAGCGATCAGGGGAGAATTCCCTGGGCCCTGTGACCTCTTCAGACTGAGACTACGGCTCTCTGGAAGCAAAGGCCCCACTCACCCCCTAGGTGACTGCCCATCCCACTTGCTCAATTTCTGGAAAAACTAGACTGGTGAGCAAAGCCAGCCCAGTCCCTGGTGTACGGTAACATACCGTGAGCCGTGGGCTTCAGTGAGCTTCCTTCAAAGAAGGGAGATGGTGGGGAGAGGGGAGAGCCCAAAGCAGCAGACAGCAGACGACTAATGCAACTAGCCCCGGGGACTCATTAACCAAGGGAAAAAAAGTTCAGAGGAACATCCGAATCCCAGGAGAAACCATCAAATGCTGATTCCAAGGGCCCTCCAAGTCTGGTCCGGTTTGTCTAGGGCTGCCTGGGGATCTGTGCTTTTAGTCAAGGCTCCAATGCAATGCTGGAGTGGGGAGTAGGGAACCATAGCTCGGGAAACACCAGTGGGCACTCTGAGAGCTTCAGCTCTGGAATTTGAATTGAGCTCTACCCACCGTAAGCTGTGTGATCTTGGGCAAGTCACTGCACCTCTCTGAGCTCTCTTTCACTTATCTAGACAGTGATGTAGTTATGACAGTCCTTGCTTCCTTGGGATGCTGATAAAATGTGTACCACAGAGTCTGGCATGGGGTGTGTGGGAGGTAACTTCTGCCCTCAGTGAGCCCCTCCTCCTGATAGTCACACCCTTGTGTAAGCCTCTCCCCTAGATGGTGGGCTGGACACACTGACTCAGTTCTAAAAACACCCATAGTCATTGAGTTGATTCCAACTCACACCTGATGAAGAGAATTTAGCAAGTGATGCCAGGTCACTTCTAAGACCAGATTAGAAAAGACTGTCACTTCGTCTTGCTAGCTCTCCCTGCCACCCCAGGCTCTCTCTCCCCTGTCCTCTCCATTGCTTGCTTTGATAAAGCAAGTTTCCACATTGGAGAGACCCAAGTGGCAAGGGGCTGGGGGCGCTATACAGCCAACAGCACCGAGGCCCTCAGTCGGAAAACCCGTGAGAAACTAAGGGCCACAGAGTAAGCTTGGACCCTGCCCCAGCTGAACCATGATATGAATGCAGCCCTGGCCAAGACCTTGATTGCAGCCTGTGAGGAACCCTGAGCAGAGGGCTTAGCCAGGCCACACATGGATTCCTGACCTGCAAAAACTGTCAGATGATAAACGTCATTGTTTTAAGCTACCAAGTTTTGGGATAATTTGTTCCACAGCAATAGACAGCTATCACAGGGTGACAACTCAGTATAAGATTTTAACTTTTGAAATGTGTTTGAAAACTGCACCTGCTATATAGCCTGGGTAAGTGAAAGGCAATATACCCATGACCATATACAGGTTCAGCAAACAATATTTCCACATACATATTTGTGCTGTAAGAATGTCCATAGATCCAAAGGGGGCAAAGGTATGGTAACTTCTTAGCCAAAGCCAAACACCTTGAGGGAGTTAAGTCACTGGGTGGGAACCTGGTCACGGGGAGTATCAAGCTCAGCTGGTATAACGTACTGTGCAAAATCATTGTTCCACATGCTATTTTGGTGAGTAGGGACTGGGGTCTAAAATCCTTGTGAGCGGCCACCTAAGACGCAACAACTGGTCTCCCCTTGTCCAGAGCAAAGAAGAGTGAAGAAAACTGAAGATGCATGGAAACAATTACTCCAAGGGACTAGTGGACCATAGAAACTTCAGACTACATTATCTTGAGACCAGAAAAACTAGATGGTACCCAGCTACCACTGCCAACCACTTGGAAAAAGATCAAAATCAAAATTAGAGATACTGGATAGAGTGGGAGGAAATTGTGATCATAAAAAAGACCAGCCCTTGCTTATACACAGGGAGACAGCTCGGGGGACAGGAGTACATGGAGGGATGGACACAGGAAGAGTTAACTATCAGGAGGAAGTGGGAGGGGAGCTGTTTCATTGTGGTAAATTGTGGTCAATGTCATGAGACAAAGTGTATGTGAACTGCTGCATGCAAAGTGAATTTGCTTTGTAAATTTTCACCCAAACCACAATATAAATAAATAAATAAATAAAAGACCAGCCTTACAGGTTTAATAGAGACCAGTGAAATCTCCGAAACTATGGCTTCTAGTCACCCTTCAGGCCTGGAGTTGAACTCACTCCTGTGGCTTAACCTTTCACCAAACAACAGACAGGCCTATGAGGTGAACAATGAGGTGTACTCCTTAGAACTGTCAGCTATGGGAGATCAGAAGGGCTGTGTTTGCACAGGGAGATAGCTCAGAGGGCAGGAATGCATAGGAAAGAAGGACACCAGGGAAAAAGTAACCATTGGGAGAAAGTGGGAATAAAGTTGTTACATTGTGGGGATTGCAATCAATGTCATGAAACAAAATGTGTATGAACTACTGAATGGAAAACAAATTTGTTTTGTAAGTTTCACCCAATTCACAATTAAAAACCAAGTTCAAAACTGGCTATCTGGTCAAAGTAGATGAGACTTCTCTGGTTCTCATGGGATTGTGCTCTTCCCACCGTTCGGAAAGACATTTTCCCCTTGTCCTGGGTTTCTCAGTAGTCCTGCCACTAAGCTGTCTGAGGCCCTCACCCCACCACCCTGTGTGTCTAAAACCAAAGTCCTCCATATCTCCCCCCACCCTCCCCACCTCACTCCCTGCTCTGTTTACGGTACTGCACTGTCACCTCGTCAGGCACCAGAAGCCAAGCCCCGTGCCCACAGGCCCTGCTCCTTCCTTGTCCTGGGCCATGGGACAAGTATCAGCCCTGAGAGGGTGGCATCTGGCATCAGGCTGCTCTCTCCCACCCTTCTTCGCCATGACCCTAGGTATGTCCCTTAGCCTCCCTGAACCTTGGTTTCCTAATCTGCAAACTGGAGGTCACACTAGTGCTTCTTCTCACAAGATTGCATCCATTCCATTCAACCAAACCCACTCCCGTCAAGTCGGTTCTGACTCAGAGTGACCCTACAGAACAGAGCAGAACTGCCCCCCAGAGTTTCGAAGGCTGTCATCTTTATGGAAGCAGACATTCTTCTCCTGCAGAGCCACTGGTGGGTTCAAACTGCTGACCTTTCAGTTAGCAGCTGAGCATTTACCACTGTGCCACCAGGGCTCCTTCACAAGAGTACAGTGAGGACTGAACACGATCTTCTAGGTCTGAAGGTGGCCCACAGATGTGATGCTTTTGGTCCCAAAAGTGGTTTGGATTTTTATTTTGAATTAATTTCCAACTTTAACATTCAAACGGGGCTCCTAAGGAAAAATGACTAGCTCTAAGGCTGGAGCAGGGAAGACAGAAACGATCCAGAGGATTCTGGAGTACCGGATAGGAAGGGAGACTCAAGGTACACAGTGACGGGGGCACATCAACACAAGAGCCAACCCACAAGAGCTTCCAGTGGCCAGAGGTGGAACAACAGAAACCACAAAATCAGTAACACAGTATTAGATCATGGCCCAAATATAAAATAAACACGTACAAGCCCACAGTGATACAAACAAATGACTGAACTGAGTGTGGGAAGGGGACGCAGCAACATCACAGCCGAGAAACTTGCAGACACTGCTCCAAGCAACAATCACAGTTCACATCCCAGCGATGTCGGGGATGTTATGGACCTCCTAACATGATATGATGAGGAGGGCACCCCCCTCCATGGTATTCTTTCCCCATAATCCTGGTCTGTGATTGTGTGCCATTGAGTCAACTCTGATTCCTAGTGACTCTACAGA